ATCAGAGGGACGAGGGCTCCTGGCCCAACACTCCGCTGCCTGGCTGTCTGATCTTGACCCAAGTGCCCCTCCCTCAATGAGCCTCAATGTTTTCATCAGTAAAATGGGAACAACACCTGCTACGTTACAGGATCATGGCGGGTGTACACATTGCAGGTATAGCATCACCTACAAAGAGCCTGGCATACAGAAAGCACACAAAAAAAATGCCAGTTGTTACAGCAGCTTCTGCAGGAGGGCAGAGCTTGCCTCACAGCCACCCCACTGGCAGAAATGTCAACAGCAAGAGCAAGATGTTGAGAGATGCCTCCTGAGCTGATGCAGATGGAGAAGCGGTGACAATCTGCCCCCAAAAAATCTCAGCCAGAGGCCCAGGCGGGGGAAATCCAACGACGTTGCCCAGACTCTGCAAGGTGCTTCCTCCTTGTTGATGCTCCTGAGGCAGAAGCCACAGCTGAGCTAATTCCTTTCCCATTGATTTGCAGCATCGGCCCCAGACTTCAGCGGAGGTGGAAAAAGTGAGGATTTTCTGGGCAAGCCTTCAGGCTGCCAACCTTCGATAATCACCGGGTCCTTTCAGAAATTAGATTTTCCAGCTGGTCACTGCAATGTCACTGATAGCTTTGGTGGGCAGGGAACAGCAGTGGCCCGTGAGCTCCTTCAGAGCCAGGCTCTTTGGATCTGCAGAGCCCCGCACATGGGAGGACAAGGCAGCAGTAGGCGCTAGTGAATGTTATTGGCTGGGTAGATGCGTGCAGGCGTATATGGAGTGCTGTCAACTGAAATAAACATTGCGTCCTTCTGGCTGGAGAATTCCAGATGCTCAAGAAGATCTGAGGCTGAGAAAGCAATGGACTTCATTCAGGCTCTGGGAAAAGCTAGGAGGACCACAAAAGTGGTCAAGCTTCTAATGACCTTGAGACCCAGGGTAAACCATTCCTTGTAGATGTGCAAAGTGTATTTCATAGAGGGAGGGACTGTGGGCTTGGGGGCCAGCCCAGTCCAGACCCTCTTCCTGTGGCATGGGCCTCAGTTTCCCCTCCAGGGGAGGGCATAATCATGGCACCTCCTTTTCTGCTTGCTGGAAAGTTTTCATTGAGATAACGCTAACCAAGTAGTCTGCATAGAACCAGACACATACACATGTGCAGTACACTTGTTCATGTTATTTTGTGTGTGTGTGCATGTTTTTTATGCCCATGAGAACAAGACCCAGTTTCCCCCTCAGTCAGTCTCTCCCATCAGGAACCTTCCACAAGCCTCTTATCTTTCTCCATCAGAGGGCAAACAGACTGAAAACCATAATCACAGAAAACTAACCAATCTGATCACATAGACCACAGCCTTGTCTGACTCAATGAAACTATGAGCCATGCCGTGTGGGGCCACCCAAGACGGACGGGTCATGGTGGAGAATTCTGACAAAACGTGGTCTACTGGAGAAGGGAATGGCAAACCACTTCAGTATTCTTGCCTTGAGAACCCCAAGAACAGTATGAAAAGGCAAAAAAGATATAATACTGAAAGATGATCTCCCCAGGTTGGTAGGTGGTCAATATGCTACTGGAGGTTAGTGGAGAAATAAGTCTAGAAAGAATGAAGAGATGGAGCCAAAGCAAAAACAACACCCAATTGTGGATGTGACTGGTGATGGAAGCAAGGTCCAACGCTGTAAAGAGCAATATTGAAACCTGGAATGTTAGCTCCATGAATCGAGGCAAATTGGAAGTGGTCGAATAGGAGATGGCAAGAGTGAAGATCAACATTTTAGGAATCAGTGAACTAAAATGGACTGGAATGGGTGAGTTTAACTCAGTTCAGTTTAGTTGCTCAGTCGTATCCAACTCTCTGCAACCCCAGAACTGCAGCACACTAGGCCTCCCTGTCCATCACCAACTCCAGAAGTTTACCCAAACTCATGTCCATCGAGTCGGTGATGCCATCCAACCATCTCATCCTCTGTCGTCCCCTTCTCCTCATGCCCTCAGTCTTTCCCAGTGTCAGAGTCTTTACAAATGAGTCAGCTCTTCTTATCAGGTGGCCAAAATATTGGAGTCTCAGCTTCAGCATCAGTCCTTCCAGTGAACCACCCAGGACTGATCTCCTTTAGGATGGACTGGTTGGATCTCCTTGCAGTCCAAGGGACTCTCAAGAGTCTTCAACACCACAGTCCAAAAGCATCAATTCTTTGGCACTCAGTTTTCTTCATAGTCCAACTCTCACATCCATACGTGACTACTGGAAAAACTATAGCCTTGACTAGATGGACCTTTGTTGGCAAAGTAATGTCTCTGCTTTTTAACATGCAGATGACCATTATATCTACTACTGTGGGCCAGAATCCCTTAGAAGAAATGGAGTAGCCATCATAGTCAACAAAAGAGTCTGAAATGCAGTACTTGGATGCAATCTCAAAAACCACAGAATGATCTCTGTTCGTTTCCAAGGCAAATGTTTATAACATAAGACACCAGTATTAATAATGTCTGAGACAGAGGGACCTCAAGCAGAGAGCAGATACAAAGGAAGACAAGATTTATCTTCATTTAGTTGCATCATTTCCCAATTCCTTCATTTGCCTACTGCAGTGAACACCAGGAGGCCAAATGATGCCTCCCCCACCTTCATCCCAGACTGCAGACAGACCCCCAACTCTTCTCGTTACTTGCAGTATATCCTTGGGTGAGTTGTTTCCCTTCTTTGAGGCTTGGTTTTCTCATCTTTAAAAATGTAAATAACAATGGTTTCTTTACATAACAATTGTTTCCAGGACTAAATGAATGTATGGACTTTTGACAGCCTGATCTAAGTGATGCTCAAAAAGACATCTGTTCTTCCCTTTACCTAAAGAAGCAGCATGGAAATAAATCATAATAGGGACCAAGGTACAGGAAAAATATTGGGCTGGGGCCTCTTGGGCTCTCTTGAAGGATGAGGCAGAGATGCTACAGACTGGAAGGAGGAAATGACATTCCAGGCAGAGAGTATGCCTGGGGATAAGTCACCCTGTGTTCCAGATTCAAAGGATATGAATTTGAGCAAACTCCAGGAGATGGTGAAGAACAAGGAAGCCTTGTGTGCTGCTGTCCATAGGGCTGCAAAGAGTTGGACATGACTTAGTTACTAAACAACAACAATAATGTTCCAGACACTGAGGGAAGCTTTGGGAGGGTAGGGAATATTACTACAACGAGAGACATCCCTCACACACGTCAGGCTGAAGGAGGAAGACACAGAGAGCCACCGTGGACTCTATAAAGGGCATAATTGGACTTAGAAATTTGAATGCGAATTTTGCTAATCCCTGCAAGGTGAGTAACAGGCAGCAAACAGTGAGGGGCAAGGGTGGGCTTTGGTGGAGCTGCATGCAAGAGATCAAGATGCTTGAGCCCAGGTGGTGGTAGTGGGGAAAGGGAGACAGGGGACAGTTTGGGAAACAGGTTCAAAATATTTCTTGAGCACTTTTTCATGACCTCTGATCTCACCATGCCTGCTTGGAGCCATCCTTCCACATCTTCATCGGCAGCTATGTGATCATCTCATAGCAGATCAGATCACATCACCCCCTGCTTCGAGGCTTCCGGACGGCTTCTTATTGCCCTTGAGGTTAAAGCCAGAGTCTTCAGCCCGGTCTGCAGGTCCTCTCTGTTCTCTGCCTCCGCTGCCCGTCTTCCTCCTCCTCCTCCTCCTCTTCCAGCTTAACACCTATTCACTGAGGTCTCAACTCAAGTAGACTTCCTGACCTCCAGGATGCAGTTAAATTCTGCTGTCGGGCAAGCACCATGTCAGTGGCCTTCGTCACAATCGTTCTTTCACAATCTTGAGTAGCTCCCTCTTCCACTAAAATATAAGCTCCACGAGGGTCAGCCCTGTGTGTGTGTTCACTCCCTCCATGCACCCCCAGTACTTGGCACAGAGCGTGCTCAGTAAACATGGGTTGAACCAAGGAGCGAAGGAATGAGCATGGTCTGTCTACCAGCACCATGCCAGGCTCTCAGGGACACGGTCACAGGCAGGGACTGTTCAGGAGCAGAGAGCCAGCCCCGAGGAGGGAGCTGTCCTGCTGAATCCTGTCCCTGCTCCCTGCGGCCTCCTCCCCAGGGCCCACAGCCCTGGAGCTGCTCAGAGGCTGACATTCCCTTGGCAACGTGGCCATCAGCCTGGCATGATGAGATGCTTTAGCCGGACCTCGCCGGCCGAGCCCAGCATCAGAGCAGCTAAGGCAGATGCCATGGTAACGCCTAGCTCCCTGGAGAGCCTGGACTGCTCTTTGGGGATGCCAAATCAGGCCTCTCTGTTCTCTGGGGACTGAGGCCAGGGTCCAACCTGAAAGAGACAAAGTCTTTGAGGGAGGAAAAACCACCTTCAAGCTTGCCAGAGATGCGTCACTGCAATCAGCTGTGTCTGAGAGTCCAGGGGCGCCATGGATCAATTAGTCCTATCTATAGGCCTGACCACATGTCTGTGGTGTGATTGTCATCATGAGGACAAGGCTCCTCGGTGGGGAGGCGGCGTCACCGTTAAAGCAGGTGATGGAGGAAGGGGAGGGTGGGGCGAATGGCGAGAGAAACATGGAAGCATATACACTACCATGGGTCAGATGGATAGCCAGTGGGGATTTGCTATATGACCAGGGGAGCTCAAACCAGGGCTCTGTAGCAACCTAGAGGGGTGGGAAGGAGTGAGGGGCGGGAGGGAGGCTGAAGACGGAGGGGACACGTGTAAACCTGTGACCACTTCACGTTGAAGGATGGCAGAGGCCAACACAATATTGTGAAACTGTTTCCCCTCAATTAAAAATAAAGAGGATTGGGGCGGGGAGTGGGGGAAGAGGTCACAAAAAGTTCTCATGCAGGGGAGGGAGAGCTAGCATGGCCCCGAGCAAACAGGTAGGCATCCCGGCTTCAGGTCTTGGCTCTGACTCCTAAACGCCTCCACGTCTCTGAGTCCCTGCATCCTCACTTACAAAGCGGGGATCATAATAAAGACTTTCCTTGCAGGGCTGCGGTGAGGACCAGATCTGCTGAGATGGAAGTTCCCTGGGACGCAGAGAACGCTCGCTCACTCACAGCTGTCTTCGTTAGCATCGCCGTGGACACGGTGAACAGGGCGCTGATAAGGTGTGTGATGTGTTCTCAGGCGGATCCTTAGTGAGCTGGGTCGGCAGCCTCTTGAGAGTGACCTGCCAAGGTCCTGATTCTGACACAAGGGCTGAGACCAAGGTGGGGGGAGGTCTTGACCCGCGGAGTCCTGGGTCTACTTGATCTCACCTGTCTGCACAGCCACCTGTGGGGCAGGGATCACTGCTCCCACTTCCAGAAGGGGATTTCCGGCTCCAGAGAGCTACATAATTTGCTCAAGTCCCATCATGGAATGAGTTTGTGGATTCTCACAAATGAGGCTGAAAAGGAACGGTAGCAGCCGCTAGCCCCACCGGACACGGAAGACCACTGGGGCACCTCTGGGCTGCAGACCGCACATGCCAGCCTCTTCCTCCAGCCCCTTCCCACCCCAAACAGAAGTGCCCCTTGAGAAAAGAGAGCCCTCCGACACTGTTGGTGGGGATGCAAGTTGGTGGCAGCCACTATGGAGAATAGTATGGAGATTCTTCAAAAAACTAAAAATAGAGTTGCCGTGTCACCCAGCAATCCCACTCCCGGGCATATATCCAGACAAAAGTACTATTCGAAAAGATACATGCACCCCATACATTCATAGCAGCAGCATTCACCATAGCCAAGACATGGACACAACCTGAATGTCCATCGAGAGATGAAAGGGTAAATAGTGGAATATTACTCAGTCAAGAAAAGGACACTGTAATGCCAGTTTCAGCAACATGCATGGACCTAGAGATTATCATGCTAAGTGAAGTAAGCCAGAAAGAGAAAGACCAAATGTTACTTATATGTGGAATCTAAAATATGACACAAATGAACTGATACATAGAGAATAGACCTGTGCTTGCCAGGGAGCAAGAGTGGGAGAAGAATGGAGTGGGGGTTTGAGATGGGCAGATGCAAACTATTACACATAAAATGGCTAAACAACAAGGTCCCACTGTATAGCATAGGGAACTAGAAATATATTCAATATAGGGCTTCCCTGGTGGCTCAGATGGTAAAGAAGCTGCCTGCAAAGTGGGAGGCTTGGGTTCGATCTCTGGGTGGGGAAGATCCCCTGGAGGAGGAACTGGCAACCCTCGCCAGTATTCTTGCCTGGAGAATCCCATGGACAGAGGAGCCTGGTGGGCTATAGTCCATGGGGTTGCAAAGAGTCGGACACAACTGAGTGACTAACACACACACACACACACACACACACACACACACATCCTGTAATAAACCATAATGGAAAAGAGTATAAAAAAGAATTTATGTATCTGGTATATATATCTGAATCACTTTGTCATCCAGGAGAATTAACACAACATTGTAAATAAACTATACTTCACTAAAATAAACTTTTTTAAAAAAGAAGTGCTTCTTGATAAGGAGGAAGACTAGAAATTATTTTATCTGGACCACGCTCCCAGCTGGACCCGGACCTTGGGTACCTTTGCCCACGTGGGCTGTTCCCTCTGATCCCATAGCAGGGATTCAGGAGCTGGAGTGGACAGGTACTCACCCTGGGGATGCCTGGGGCATCCAGGAGTTAAGTAGGTGAATGGGTATGCCTTGGTTCTTAAGCATCACGCCCTCCTTTTTCACCTTGAAATAGCAGGTTCAACATAGGCCAGAAACTTCCTGCAGAAGCCAGTTTAAATTCATGCTTTTTGCTTATGTTACACGGGCCAGTTAACACCTGCAAAAGAGAGGAACAGTGCACAAGTTGTGAAAGATGATTCTGCTTATGCCTTTTCCCAGGAATAAGTCATTTTTTTCGTGAAGGCCCTTGGCCTCTGGAAGAGCCAGCTTTCAAAGGGCGTGCTCAGCTTGACTCCCTGTTAGAGGATGCACCTCGGGTTGGAATACAGATGCGATTAATCCAGATGGCATTGAATTTACTACGGAGAGCCAAGGGCCATCAAGAAGGTGAGCAACCGACAAGGGTCATTAACAGAAATATACACAACCCACAGGCGTGGGGCGCCACCAACTAGGTGGGGCCCCAGAACCCCACAGAGTCCCTTCCTTTAAGTGCTTCTGGAAGTCTGGGGGAAGGCGTACTCCAGCATACTCCATGCGAGACCATCAGTTGTCGCCTAAGGGCCGGATGCAGTTTCTGTGGGTGCTCCAATTGCTGTGTCCTTGAGAGCACTGTGGTCCTGTGGGTCCCACACCAAAGCCTCAAGATACCCAAATAGCTCTCCTCCTCCCTCTGTCTTCACTGTGTTGGAGTCATGCTGGGGTCTGTTCCAATTGGGGAGGATTTATTCATGCAAGGACCATTTACTGAGCATCTGCTATTTGCCAGAAGATTCACTGGGGGATAAATGTTACATGGTATTTGTTCTTTGTGGAGTTTATGGTCTAGCAGCTGATGATAAACACATGAACAGACAGACAAAAAATTTCAAGGAGAGCTACTAAAGAAATCAACAGGATGCCATTCAATGATATAAACTCATTGGAGGTTGTACTTTGGGATCAGGTAATCAGGGAGGACCTCTCTGAGGAGGTGACATTTATGCTGAGACCTGACAGCCATCCTGCCCAAAGTGAGGGATGGAGCATTCCAGGCGGAGGGAACAGGGTGGGGTGAGGCCTGAGGGCTGGGCCTGAGGAATTGAGAAGAGGAGAAATGGGTGGGACATCGGTTGAAGAGAGAGGAGTAGGGGTGAGATTAGAGAGGGAGGCTGGGCCAGGTCCTTCAAGACCAAAGTGAGGCGTTTGGATTTTATTTTGAGCATGATGCAATCCCCAGGGGGTTCTAAGCAAGGCGGGGATGTGAGTTAATTTATATTTTTTAAATGTCATCCTGTTGTGCAAAACAAGAAAGGAGGCAGAGAGCAGTGAGGAGACTGCTGCGGAGTCTGGGGGCACAGCTAGGGGAGGAGGTTGGGGAGGGAGGGGGACTGGGGGTCAGAGGGGGAGGGGGAGAGGTGGGTGGACTTGAAAGAGATTTTGGAGGCAGAATCAGCTATATTTGCTGACGGACTGTCCATGGATATCTTGATTTTTTTTCTTTTTAATTTTGGCTGTACTGGGTCTTCATTGCAGCATGTGTTGGCTCTGGAGAGCACGGCTCAGTAATTGCATGCTGACTTAGCTGCCCTGCAGCATGTGGAACTTCAGTTCCGCAACCGAGGATCAAATCCATGTCCCCTGTCTTGGAAGGAGGATTTACAACCACTGGACCACCAGGGAATTCCCTTGGTGATTTTTTACTGTAAAAATAACATATAGTCTTTGTCTCAGCGTTTTTCTCCACCAGGCACTTTACCAATTTTTCTACCTCTTTCTACCTCTAACCTCGGGCATTGACCCGCAGCTCAGTCTGCCTTCCCCAAGCAGAGATTGCAAGTACCCAAGTACCCTGCCTTAGCCTTCACTCAGACAGGAGCCCCTCGCCACCCGAATCAATTCAGTTCAGTCACTCAGTCGTGCCCGACTCTGCAACCCCATGGACGGCAGCATGCCAGGCCTCCCTGTCCGTCACCGACTCCCGGAGTTTACTCAAACTCAGGTCCATCGAGTCAGTGATGCCATCCAACCATCTCATCCTCTGTCGTCCCCTTCCCCTCCCACCTTCAATCTTTTCCAGCATCAGGGTCTTCTCCAGTGAGTCAGTTCTTTGCATCAGGTGGCCAAAGGATTGGAGTTTCAGCTTCAGCATCAGTCCTTCCAATGAATATTCAGGACTGATTTCCTTTAGGATGGACTGGTGGGATCTCCTTGCAATCCAAGGGACTCTCAAAGTCTTCTCCAACACCACAGTCCAAAAGCATCAATTCTTCAGTGCTCAGCTTTCTTCATGATCCAACTCTCACATCCATACATGACCACTGGAAAAACCATAGCCTTGACTAGACAGACCTTTGTTGGCAAAGTAATGTCTCTGCTTTTTAATGAACACTTATAAACTCATCCACGCTATAGGTGTTGCCAACCCTTTCTAGGCTGTTTAGAAGAAACCAAGGCCCAGAGAGGCTCAGAGACTTATTCCAGATCACACAGCTACCACATAATACATTTTAAAACCTCCAATGTAGTTCTGTTGCCATTGGATCCTACATAGTAATTTGAGGAAGGATCAACTAAGAGAGATCCTTAAAGAATTTGCTTCAATAAAAGGCTAAGAATTCATTTATTCAAAAAACCCCACTGTGCTTCTAGTATCTATTGTGAGTACTGCTTATCTGCCATCTGTCACATGCTCAGCACCCAGCCAGCCTCTGAGGTTATGAAATCAATCCGATAAAGCCCTCTACCCTTGCTACACTTTTGGTTTTGTGGACAGAGAGGGAGCTGGGTGGGAGGATGTAAGGGTGTCTCCAGAGTAAAGGCCTGCAGGGCAAGAAGACAAGTGCAGTAGCAAAGACACAGACGCGCTCAGGAAACCAAAAACAAATGATGTACAAACCCACTGAGCATATAGCAGATCCTCTAAAAGGCTCAGAAAGTGCTTCTTCTCAAATTCTTCAAATGTTTGCCTCACAAGTGCACTTAGCCTCTTAATTTGGACCCCCCAGCAGGGCAGGCTCTGTGAGGCTAAGGCAAATGCCAACCCTGGCTCACCTGAATGGCCCTGGGTTCCAAACTGGTCCTGCAGCTTCTTTGCTCTGTGCTTTTGAGGCTGTGTTTGCTTCTGAATGGTCCCTTGTTATACAGGCTCCTTGAAGAAAGGGATCACATCTTTGGTTTTCTCAGCACTTTCACCTTTCAGTCTTCAGTAAGGACTTAACAAATGCTAGTTTGTAGGTGTCGAGTGGGGAGGGGGCAGAGAGCAAAGACAATGACAGGCATGGTCCCCGCCATCATGGAACTTGCAACTGGCCATCAGTGAACTCTCAGTCCATGGAAGGTCCTGCTGGAGTGTGCCATCTACAGCTTTGTGCCTCTGAAATCTTAATTTCTGCTGAGTGTTATCTGAGCGCCAAACCCATAAACCCAACCATAAACTCTACCTGGTTACATGATTTGTCCTGAAACCTTTATATTCAAAGCAAAATCTAGATCCCCACCAATGCCAACTCCCACCTGGTTCTCCCTGCGCCTTTCCTACCACTGTGAATGGCAGCATCCCCGTCTGATTGCACAAAGCCACAACCTAGGAAGCACCCTTGACTCTCCCCTCTCCCTGGACGCCCACACCCAGGCATCCCCTGCTTCCCATCACCTCCGTCACCAGCACTGGCTGCCATCTTGGACTTCCCCTACCACCATAGCTTCCCACTGACCTTCTCTCAGCTTTGAGTCCGTTCGTCACACAGGGCCTAGGCTGATCTCATAAAATGTAGACAGAAGCATATCTACTTATAGCCTTGAGGGGAAGGTCCGTTGCTTTCAGAGTAAAATTCCAACCCCGCAGTAACCTGCGCTGGTCCTCGTCACCTCCCACCTTCCCTCTCCTTTGCATGGGTCCCTCTCACTTTGCTCCAACCATCTCATCTCCTCTCTCCCTTGGGTCCTCGACACCCCTTCCCATCCTTTGCACCTGCTGCTCTATCACTGACTGCTCCTCTGCAACCCCATTCTTTCAACAGCTGGATTCCTTCTCCTCCTTCAGGCTTCAGCTCAGATATCAACTCCTCCGAGAAGCCTCCCCTGACTTCCCAATCCAACACCCCACCTCCTACCTTAGTGACTCAGTGTCCCATCACTCAAACTCTCCCCTTTATAGCATCAACTGTCTTGTGGTTTCAGGGACGTAGAATGTGGGATTCATGACAGCAGGAATTCACTATGGAGGCCCTGGGGCTAGCAGAAGAGATGCTGAAATATTTGTTGAATCCAAACAGAACAGTAACAAAAAGCTTCCCGGGGCTATTCTGAGGATTACGTGCCACTGAAAGCCCCTGCCACAGGGCCAGGCTCGTTGCAGGCTTCCGCAGACTCAGTGTCCCAGGCTGGCCCGTAGATTTCAGGCACCAGAAATGCATTATCCTCATCTCCCAGGGGGAATAAAGCATGAGAGATGAGAGGGCAAGAAACATAAAAAAGTGCTTCTGACCACACTTGAAAGAATGTGTTTTCTTGTTTGCCTCTTCTCCCCCTTTGCAGTGTCTATTTTTAAAGAGCTGGGAGAGCGCACACGGCGATCGCTCCAGAGATTCGGCCCGTCCTTGCTCCCTGAGCAGCCCTCTCTCACTGTGGGCCAGTGGCTCTCAAGTAGCCACCTGTTCCGTGCCGTCCGCATCAAGCCCAGCGCCCGCCTCTTCCTGGCCCACTCAGCGACACCCCGGGGACGCTGGCCAGACCAGGCTCTGTTCCTGCCCCCAGGATGGCTTTGAAGCAAGGAGCTGTCTCGGCCTGTTTGTTTGCAGCAAAGCTCCTTGTATGGTAAGAGATCATGAATAAGAAAATAGGACCCTGATGGCAGAGCAGACATCTCCCGCCAGCACTAACCGTCCTCTGCCCAGCAGCAGCTGCAAACTCCAGGCAGCCCACCTCCTGGAGAGGCAGCACGGTGCAGGCAGCAAGCACCAGAGATGCAGGCAGAGCCCACCCGAGCTCAGCCGGCAGGGGTCAAACCCTCCCTGGGTTGGGAGCTATGTCTGGGCTCCAGCCCTGGCTCTACTGCTAAGCCAGGAGATAGGAGTCAGTTCCTTCACTTTTCTGTCAGTTTCCTTATCTGTATAGTGGGTGGAAGAATAATCCCAAATGGGTACCTAGGATTTACATTTTTGATAAAAATCTTTCCTACTAATGTTTTTATTTTACTTGTTCAGTGAAACTTATTTACTAGGTGCCCACTCCATGCCAGGCACTACACTAGGCATGGAAGATACAGTTGCCCAAAGAGATAAGGTATTGACCTTCACTGGGCTTGTATTGCAGGGAGGAAAGAAATGCATCCAGAGCTTCCATAATTAAACACTAAGTTACAGTTGTGACAGGTTCTAAAAAGTCTACAACGGACAGGTACTTGGGGCAACAAGTGCGTGTAATTGGAGAATTTGACCTTGAGGGTCCCCTGAGGAAGTGATGCTTGAATTGACATCTGAAGAGGTAGAGATGCTAACTAAGAAAGGAGGGAAGAATGCCCTGAGAAAAGGGAACAGCTTGGACAAAACATGAGTCAGGAGTAGCTCAGAGATTGTGAGGGCTTTCAGGGAATCTGATATTTCTGGGGATGCAGAGTAGAAATGAAGTAGGAAAATCGGCAGGGACCAGACTTGGTGGTCCTTGTTGTTGGAGGTAAAGAGGAATTGTGTCTCCATTCTGAGAGCAATGGGAAACATTCGCTGGTTTAATCAGGGCGTCCTGAGATCAAGTTTAATCCTTTCAAGGTTCACTCTGGCTGCTGCGTGGAGAAAAGACTGGGGTGAGGGGGCTGTGAGGGAAAGCAGGAGCCTGAAGTCTGCTGAAGGCAACCTGGAGGAAGGTGAGGGTGGTGTAGTAATGATGGCGGCAGCAGAGTTGGAAGGAAGGTCCCAGTAGCTGGCTGCATGGCGCTGGGGGGAGCAGTGGAGAGGGAAGGGGTGGGGTAGGTGAGGATGGAGGGCTGCCATTCACTGGGGGAAACAAAAATCACCATCTCCACTTTAGAGATAGGAGAATCAAGCCTCAGAAAGGGGAAGTGGGCCCCCAAAATAGCAAGTGATGGGACCAAGCTCACGGCCAGTCTTCCAGGAGACCAGTATCAGGTATTGTGATTAGGTGAATACCAAGTGACTAAGTGAAGACTGGTCCCCATGGCCAGGGCTGGCCTCTGCCTCAACGTTCTTTCTGCCAAAGGTGAGGAGGGCAGCATCCAGGCTGACCCAGTCCTACCCTCGGCAAATGCTGGGTCCTCAGCCAAAGCCAAGGGTGTCAGCCGTGGCAGTAGGAAGAGAGCAAGCTTGGGGGCCAGCTGGAGACAGGACCCAGGGAGGTGAGATGACGGGCTCCGGAGGCACGCAGACCAGGGTACCAATCCTGATTTTGCCGTCTGCCGCCCATGCGCCCCTGATGCTACGACGGCTTCCTGGCACCTGACCAGTAGAGAGCATTGCACCAAGGCTGTGAGCCTTCGTGAGCCCAGGCTGGGCTCACCGGACACAGCTGCCCTGTCTCTCCACGGGCTTTGTCCGATGGGGCAGGCTCTCATGGGGCTAAGAGCACCGGGACAAAGGAAGGGTATCTCCCCCAAGGCAGGCCATCACGGCGGGGGCAGATGGAAGGGTCTGCCCAGTGGGCAGAGGACCTTTTGATCACAACATTGAATTTTCCAACGCTTGATGATAATTAAACACAAGCTGATTTTAACTTTAATTTTTTTACACTCTCTACACGCAAAGTAGCTCTTCTTGGCTGGACTCAGAGGAGATGATTCCTGCCACACTTGCCCCCACAATGATGGATGCCAAAGCCCCCTTACCTACCGCCACCTTCTCTGGAGAGGAGGGGAGAAGCGTATGTGACTCTTTGGGACAAGGACACATAGATCCATGTGCTCGTTTATTCACTTATTCAACATATATTCATGAAGCCCTGCTACACGTCAAGATGAGCATTAGATGCTGGAAATACAGGTATCTGTTAGACGTGATACTGCCCTTGAGAAAGTCTTATTCATTCATTTCCCCATTCATGCATTCATCCAATATGATATTAATTGAGCACCTACTGTGCCCAGCATGGGAACTGCGGCCCCTCAGGCAGATTATCTAACTGGGATGGTTAGACTTTCTCAAGGAGGTGCCTTCCAAGGGTGCTTCAGCTCTCCTTTTCAGGAAAAGTGGAAGATAGCTAGAGGAAGAAGGGAAAACTCATCTTCCAGATGGAGGGATCGACGCTGGTTAGAAACCCCAGAGGTATGAAGCAGCTTGGGGTCCAGGGAACCGCAGCAGGTCTGCATGGCTGGAGGAAAGGCTCACATGGGGGCCTGGGCAGGAGCAGGGTCAGAGGCAGGGAAGGTCATAAGAGCCTCAAGTGCTCAGGCAAGAGGGGGAACTTCCTACTGAGAAGCCATGGCAGAGTCACTGAAGGGTCTCAGGCTAGGGGGGAAGCGGGTAACAGGTAGGGACAGCCCCCGTCAGATATCACAGAGACTTGGCTGCAGCCGGGGGATGGAGGGGAGCCGAGGACACCCAAGACAAGGAGCACAAGTCGGAAGCCATGAGGAGGCCGGTACTGAGGCAGGCAGGGTGGAGAGGAGGTGTGTGTTCCAAAGACATCAGGAAGGGGAAATCCACAAGAGGTGGCTTATTAATTAACTCCCATCAGAAAATGCTGCAAACCCAACAGCCCCAAACTCAGTGACTTAAAAATCATTGACCCCAGGTCAGCTGAGAGCTGGCTGATCTTGCCTAGGCTTGACCAGGCTGAGTGGACCTGCGCGTACATCTGCAGTTGGGTGATACCAGCTGGGCTTGCCCGGGGCAGCTTGGTCCTGCTCTCATCCCCCTCCTGGCACCAACGGGCATGCTCATCACATGGCAATGAGGTCAAGGCTCAAAAGAACAAGCCTAACCAGGCAAGAATTTCACAAGCTGTTATGTTATATCCACCAGTATCCCACTGGGTAAGTCACGGAGATGAGCCCAAGGTGAAGGGGTGGGAGCTATATTCCATCTTTCTGGAGGAAGAATTGCCAAATCACATGGCACAAAGCGAGGATTCAAGGAAGGGTGAAGAACTGGGTCGTTCAAGCTGTTCCCTATATACAATGAAGACTAGGAAGAGAGGAAGAGTGTTCATAAGTTCTTTTGCCAAGAATGGGACCCATGTCAGCCTCCAAAGCTTGGATTTGTTGCCCTCTAGACCTCAAAGCCACATCAAGAATTAAGCGTGAGACAGGGATTGTCTCAGATGCAATGTCTATGCAGCCTGCCCACCCTTCACAGAATGTTCCAGGGGAAGAACCGAACCCTCAGCCCCAAAACCCACCCAGATTTTCTGTGATCTTTCTGCCAGCCCTGCCCTGTGCCCTGCCCACCCCCCCACCCGCCGCTTACCCCCCGGAGGACTGGCTTCCCTTCTCACGCAGACTGTGTTGATTACACATTCTGAGCCTTGTTTTCCTCCGTGTGGGCAGAAAGAGTTGCACAACTGCTCCAACCCTGCAACAGAGGGGTGGGTGGGAAAAGAGGTATATGTTTGGGGCAGGAGAAATCTACTCCTTCTGTTCCCCATCTCACTGGGATCCTCCCTCCCCTTCGCACTCACGCCTTCCTCTCTGGCTGCCCCTCCTAGCCATCTACCTGCTTTCTCCAATTGCACCGCAAATGGGCAGGAGATTTAATCTCCCCTGAGAGTAACTCTAAAGGAAAGAAGCAGAAATAGCCTGTGCCCTGGGTGACCTGAAGAGTGTCATTTCCCTTTTCTAGATTTAGTTTGTTGTTGGTGTTTATTCGCTAAGTCGTGTCTGACTCTCTGTGACCCCATGGACGAAAGCCCACCATGCTCCTCTGTCCGTGAGATTTCCCAGGCAAGAATACTGGAGTGCTTCGCCATTTCCTTCTCCAGGGGATCTTCCCAGCCCAGGGATCGAACCTACGTCTCCTACATTGTTAGGCGGGTTCTTTACCACTGAACCACCAGGGAAGCCCCAGGATCTTAGTTTTCACACCTATAAAACAGTAACATTGGTTTAGCAGACATTTGATGTTTAACAGACACTCATACAATGCTTACTAAGTGTCCTGCTATCTTAAGTGCTTTGCAAATATTTGCTCATTTAATTATCATAATGATACTTCAAGTCATCTCTATTTTACAGCAGGAAACTGAGGGGCAGCGGGCCAGGGGATGACTGAGTCAGGGCTTCAACCCAGGCAATCCAACCCCAGAGTCCACATTTAACCACCATATTACTCAGCCAGGTGGTGCAGTGGTAAATAATCCACATGTCAACCCAAGAGACAAGGGTTCAATCCCTGGGTTGGCAAGCGCTGGGAAACCAATACAATGGGTAAAGTCTTGAAGGTTTCAAGCAGAGCCAGCTCCAGAGAGCAACTCCAAGCTGGCCACCTTCTCTACCCTCCTAGGGCACATCCAAGAGCCTCCATCTCCCACCACCTCTCATGGAGTCACTCAACCTTGCTGACCTTGATTCCCAGAGAACTTTAATCCCCAAATGCAGACTCTAGGCTGGGGAAGGCTGAGTGAAAAGAATGGCCAGAGAATATGGAACCTGAATGGTAGGGGGACAGGGGCTTTGAACTTTGTGGGGGCTGAGAATTGGACTTTGGGAACCTCAGGAGTGGGGAGGCTTGGAATTTTTTTTCCAGTAGTCATGTCTGGACATGAGAGTTGGACTATAAAGAAAGTTGAGCGCCAAAGAATTGGTGCTTTTGAACTGTGGTGTTAGAGAAGACTCTTGAGAGTTCCTTGGACAGCAAGGAGATCCAACCAGTCCATCAGTCCTGAATATTCATTGGAAGGACTGATGCTGAAGCTGAAACTCCAATCCTTTGGCAACCTGATGTGAAGAACTGACTCATTGGAAAAGACCCTGATGTTGGGAAAGATTGAAGGCAGGAGGAGAAGGGGACGACAGAGGATGAGATGTTTGGATGGCTTCACCAACTCGATTGACCTGAGTTTGAGTAAGCTCCGGGAGTTGGTGATGGACAGGGAAGCCTGATGTGCTGCAGTCCATGGTGTCACAAAGAGTTGGAAATGACTGAGCAACTGAACTGAACTGATGCTCTGTAAGCCCCAGTCCCTAACCTCCAGGAAACTGGAACTCTGAGCTGAAAAGTGGTTCAAAGCCACTGCAGGTACCAGTGATGTCACTTCTCACCTCAATCTCTCAGCCTGTCTAGCACAAGGCTGATCTTGCCTACTGCACCAGCGATGGTGGGATGAAATAGATGGTGTGTGTGGAAAGGCTTTAGGGGATGGTCGAGTGGAACAAAAGCTGGTTGGAAACACTTGTGTCTTTTCCTTCCTGACCAAGTTGCTGGAATCTGAGTCGCTCATCATTCCGTTCTTTAAGCCCTGAACCCAAAGCCTAGCTCATCATGGGTTTCAAATTTCAGTTTCAAACTGAAGTGAATCATGGTGAGTCCCCATTTTGACGAAGGCAGCATTCCATTCCCAAAACCATCATTTTCTACTCAGGACCAATCTTACACCCCAGCAGGCATTCAGAGGTGACCCAGGCCAAACAATCAACTTGGAGAAGTTTGTTTGCCTATAAGCTAGCTTCCTGTCCTCTCTGCCCTTTCTCCATGCCCTCTGCCCAGCACAACATTTACCCCCCAACACACCACACACACAAAATCCCTCCCTCCAAACTCTTCTCCAGAATTCTCTTGCTGGGGCTGTGCTCTCAGCTGGCTGACACGTACACTGATGTCTACTGGGGTTTCAGGCAGACATTTCATGAACGTCTGGTGGGACTCAGAGCACTCAAGACATGACTTCTTAGTGGTGGAATCACTGAATGTCAGACTCCTGGCTGAGATCACGTGTCATCCGTTACCCTGGCAGGGAGCTCCTGGATCCACACCATGTCTCTGCTCCCTTCAGACCTTTCTGTCCCACTGCGTCCACCCACTGGCCCCATCCCATCCTCAGACGTCTCTCTCCTTAGGCAGAGAGTTCAGAAAAGGGATAGGTCATCTGCCCTGGGTGTGTAGATAAGGAGACAGGGTGGAAAGATGGAATCAGACAGACCTGGCCTTGAATTTCATCTCTTCTACATGTTCTGTAGCCTTGGGCAAATTGCTTCACCTCTCCGAGCTCATTTTTAAAAATCTTTGTTTTATATTAGACTGTAGTTGATATACACTGTTGTGTTAGTTTCAGATGTACAGAAAAGTGATTGCTATACACATACATACTTCTATTCTTTTTAAAAATTCTTTTCCCATGTAGATTATTACAGGATATTGAGCAGAGTTCTGTGGCTATTCAGTAGGTCCTTGTTGGTTATCTATTTTAAATACAGTAATATGTATCTGTCAATCATTCTGAAATGAATACCACCGCATCTTTCTCCCAGGGTTTCGTGTAAAACAACAGCATTCACCTCTTCCAGGCCTTGCTTGCCAGGGCCTGGCACACAGTGAGAGCTATAAAAGGCTGATGGGGTGTGATGGGGAGTTCCCAGGCATTGGAATCTGACAGGCAGAAATTTGAATCCCTACTGTCACCTCCGAGCTGTGTGGCCTTGGGTTAAATCACTCCAGACCTCTCTGATGCGCTGTTTCTCTATAAAACTGGGATGAAGCCCCTGTTCTTGGGTATGAGAACAGAAGGAGAAATGGGCAACAGAAGACGAGATGGCTAGACAGCATCATCAACTCAGTGGTCATGAGTTTGAGCAAGCTCCAGGAGACAGTGAAGGACAGAGAAGCCTGGCGTGCTGCAGTCCATGCGGTCACAAAGAGTCAGACACAACTTAGCGACTGAACAATAACAACATAGGTTTTTGATTGTTCAGCTTCATCCTGTACCTAACTGCAGACTCCAAAGCCAGGTTTCACAGTCCCAGCTAGCAGACCTCTTGGCTTCCAGATCTGCTTGTCCTTGATCATAAGCCTCTGACTCACTGGGCCGTCCAACTTTGTACTCAGAGCCCAGGTCTCCAGTGTGATGCCTCCTAGAATTCACCTAAAAGCCTAGATACTTTCTTTGTGGCTTTGGCATGACCGGGGCAGGCGGTAACATCTCAGGGCTCCAAGGCTGCACAGGCACGGCCAAAGGTCTCGGCAATAACAGGCCTGTGATCAGCGAGATAAGCAGAGCCATCTGCCTGATTCATCGTGGCCCCAGCAGGGCAGGGGCTGTGGGGGAAATGGACGGTCAGGGTCTATTACTCGGTCCTAAAATGCTGGGGGACACTTGCTGGGGGTCAAGGAGATGTAGACAAGGCCAGCCTGGCTCCGATCTTGGGCAGAGGGCCCCCCCACTCAGGGCCCAGACAGGCCCTGTCCAGTGCTGGCCCAAGGCAGCCCTGTTCCCCAGGGAGGGGCTGCCCTCAGGCCTGTGACTGCTGGCCTGGCCCTTTCCATCAGTCCCAGCAGGAATTAGCAGAGGCTGCTAAGTGGCCTCGGCCTTCTCCTGTGCTCCGGAGGAGGGGGGAGGGAAAGGGCGAGGGGGGAGCCGCACCAGCGGTGTGCGCATGGGGTGATTGTCATGGTTACGCTCTGACAAAACAAATGGCTCTGCTTCCTGCAGGCCACCTAAGCAGCCACTGCAATGTGGGCATCGATCAAGCCGGCTGCCGGGGCCACGGGCGCTGGGCTTGGAACCGGAGCCCTGCCCTGGGTGCCCCCACCAGCAGCTCTGGGCTGGGGCTGTGGACAGCAGGGAGCGTTTATCCAGACACCTGTTGCTTCGGGAGTGAGGTAAGGGCTGGCCCAGTTTGTGTGGGGATGAGGACGGGGCTGCTGGGCTGTCCCCAGGGTGTGTGTGTGTGTGAGAGCGTGTGCACACATCAGCGTGTGTACACTGCGCGCCTGCACTAGTGGGATGGGGGACCCGCCGGACCCAGGGCTCAGGATGCTCCAGCGACAGAAGTGAGAGATCACAGGACCACATGTTGCTGCCGGTTCCCTCCCCTTCCCTCCGCCTCTCTCCCCCGCCCCTTTCTGGAGCGCTCCGGCTGTGTGAGTGGCTAGTTCTTTTTCTTCCCGGGGATGAATCTCTGCATCTCCTGCCCGCTAAGTGTTTCTGCGCCCTCCCCTCCCCCCACCCGCCCTGACACCTGTTCCACCGTCTCCCTGCGCCCTCGCCCAGTCTCCAGCGCCCTGGGGCCAGCGGGAGCTCTGCGGGCTGTCCTCCCCGGGCTGCGGGGCTCGTGCCGCTGCCCTCCGGGCACTGGGCGTGTGACTGTCCCCAAAGCCAGCCGCTAGCTGATCCTCGAGCCCTTCTCAGAGCCCCAGCCCCCAGGCTCCTGCCAGGTAAGTGGGGCTCTGGGAGGGAGCAGGGGTCCGCGGCAGGCTGCGGAAGGGGAGGGGAGCCTGGCACCCTCGCGCAGCAGTGGCGTCTGCCCACACGTCAAGCCGGGGCTGGAAGTCCCGTCATAACATCTCCCGCGGCGTCGCCCACAGCCCGAGCCCGAGGCTCCCTCCGCCCCGCCCGCCCCGCGGCGCAGACCCAGGCTCGGTGGGCGCCGGCGTGGGCGCGGGGAAGTGGGGATGCTAGACCCCCCCCCTCCCCCACCTCGCCTCCGAGAGCCGCAGGCACCTTCCTGCTCCCTTTCCCTCCGGTCTTTTCCTTTTTTTTTTTTGAAGATTTAAGAGCGGGCTGAGCGCCCTTCCTCTCCTCCCTGGATTCCCCAGCCCCGGGACCTGGGCAGAGACTCAGGGGCGCTGGATGAATCCTGACGTCCCGCCCGAAGCTGGAGGGCAGAGGGAACCTGAAGCTCCCTCGCTTAGCTGGAACTGGGGGAGGGGGCCCGGCTGGAGGGCAGGGGCCCTGAGCGGGCGGGGGGCGGGGGCGGTGGGGTGGGGTGGGGGGCGTGGTGCCCGCAGGATGTCTGCCCTAGAGACCTGCGGGGGTGCTGTGCGTCCCTAGAAGGTGTGAAGGGAGGGAGCCTCGGGGTGGTAAGGGGGTGGGGGGGCATGGTGCGCGGGTAAACGTGCTGACGTGTTCAGGGGCACGTGTGGGGGATCCCTGTGTCTGCTGGCGTGCAGGGACAGTGTGGGGTGTATCTGTGTGTGTGTGTGTGCCCGCACATGCACATGTGCAGGCAGCTGTGGGCTGAACTTGACCCAGAGGTTGTCTTCCAGGATTCCCACGACCTGACACGTTGGCTGCAGGCAGTACTTGTCACCCAGCCTGGGTCAGCATCCCTCCCCCGGGACAGAGCTTCCGCTGATTCCAACCAGACCCTCCCCACCGCCCCCTACGGTGCTGAGCCAGGGCAGCGGAGAGGTGGACACTGCGCCCTGATGGCTGCCCGCCTACCCCATGGCTCCTCTGACACGAGACGGGCCAAGGGTCCTGGGCTTAGGGGGACGGGGATGCTCGCTCCCCAGCCTTAGGTAACCCCGGGTCTGTAGGAAACCAGCCCCAAACCCCAGCCAGATGACCGCCTAAGGGACTCCGGCCACTGGCCATGGGCTGCTGCCTGGTGGACGGGTGCTGCTGGTCATGGCCCGGAGGCAACAGCAGCGTTTCCCTCGCTCAGCGGGGCTTACTTGCTCCTGGCCTCCCCTCACCTGATAGAAGGTGCTGATGCTGTTCTGGGGGAAAGGACTCCTCCCAGGGAATAGGGACAGCGGAAGAGGCACCCGGGGGAGGCACTCTGCCCCGCCAGGATCCTGGCCTCGGGTTCCTGCTCAGGTTCAAACTGTCCTCTCTCCCGGCTGAGCAGGTCTCTCTTAGCATCCCCTGGCCAAACCCCTCCAACCACATGACCCGAGTCACCCGTGGCCAAGCTGACTTAGGTTGCCTGTGGTTTCATGGCCGTTCCCAGTTCAGCCACCCTGGGAGGGTGGCTTGGGCCAGGCCAAGCAGAGGGTCACTGTAAACGAGACGTCAACAGACTTCCCTCGGGGCATGGGGAACTGTCCAGTGGGATCAGTGGACAAAATATGGCCCCAGGTCACCAGGGATGCTCAAATCTTTTCATCCCGTTAAACTCCTTGAGGGCTTCCCTGAGAGCTCAACTGGTAGAGTCCGCCTGCAAGGCCAGAGACCCCCAGTCGATTCCTGGGTGGGGAAGACCCCCTGGAGAAGGGACAGGCTGCCCGCTCCAGTGGTCCTGGGCTTCCCTGGTGGCTCAGCTGGTAAAGAATCTGCCTACAAAGCAGGAGACCCAGGTTTGATCCCTGGGTTGGGAAGATTCCCTGGAGAAGGGAAGGGCTACCCACTCCTGTATTCTGGCCTGGAGAAGTCCATGGACAGTCCACAGGTTCGCGAAGAGTCAGACATGACTAAACGACTTTCACTTTCACTTTCAAATTCCTTGAAGAGCATGTGTTCATGGGGCACTGCCTGATGAAAATCCAGCTGGAAACTTTCCCTAACCTGTCTTCTCTGGGGTTACTTAGCCAGCAGAATGGCTGGCCCATGAAACTCTCTGAGAGAGTGGGCTGGGACTCGGGGTGTTCTGTGTGGAGCTGAGAGGGCTTCCTGGAGGAGGTGACATTCGAGTGGGGACCTGAAGGAATTGGTGGAGGGATGTGGATACATGGGTGAATGAAGAGGGTCTGGAGAGCATTCACATGTGGCCAGAGGTGTGAGGACAGGCAGAACTGGGAGGAGCAGGAGTCTTGGTTGGCTTGTATCAAGTAAATCAGTCGGCATGAATAGAACCACCTAGGGTGGAAAGAGGGAAAGGAATGAAAATCCTTCATCACTGGGGGCCTGCTTTGCACCAAGCTCTGTGCTGGGCATTGCAGTCTCAAGTGTGGAGAGCGAGATGCATCAGTTACCCAGGATGAGGCAAAACAGTGCCCATGACATGAACTCTTCAACTTGAGGTCTCTTCGAGCTAGCCACAAGGAGACTCCAAGGAGACTTGTGAGAACCTGAAGCCCAGAGCTGAAGGCCGAGTGGAGACAGGCAGGTGGAAGCCATCTGCTCACAGGCTGGAGCAGGGCAGGCGTCAGCCACTTTGGGAGAGAAGAGAGGAGAAGGCCAAAGACTGGACCCTGAGGAGTTTTTGCCTCTGCTGACCAGTCCCTTGCCTCACTTTAGTGTTGGCCCGGAGGGATGAGCCTCCCCAGGAAACACAGAAGCTGCAGCTGGAGGGAGGGGACCAGTACTGAGGGTCCTCCCCGCTCGGTGATGACTTCTTACCGGGTATCTTCCCCGTGGGGTTTTATTTCGTCCTCATTTTGCAGATGACGGAACTGAGTCTTGGAGAGCTCGAAGGGCTTGGTTGGAGGTCACACAGCAAATGGCAGAGCCATTTCAGCAGAAATGAAGTGAGGAGGTGGGCAGATCCCACAGACAATTCCTGAGTAGCTGCTGGGTGTCTTGAGAGGAAGTGACCAGCGAAGGCACTAGTGCTTCCTTCAGAAGAGATGTTAGGACCACTGCCGACGGCGATGATCACAGAAGGATGTGGCTGAGCCAGCCTGCATCCCAGGGGGCTCAGAGCGGGGAGCAATCACCCCCAGATAAAGGATAGGGAGAGGCTTCAGGGAGGAGGTGGGACTTGAAAGGGCCAGGAGGATCAGTAGCTTTAGAAACATGTAGATGGCACAAGCGTGCTCTGGGTTGAGGGAGGAACTTGGTAAGGACATGGGGTTGGGGCAGGGCTGCAAATATTCTATCTTTTCAGGGACTGAGGGCAAGAGTGGAGGCATGACACCAGACCAGGCTTCAGAGGCAGCTTGGGGGTGACCATCAAGGAGGCTGGGTCCGACATGCAGTTCAGACTGTTGACAGTCGGGGAGCAGGGAGCACGGTGATCAGGTCTGGACTTAGGGGAGTGCGTGCAGGCTCGGTCGCTCAGTCGCGTCCGACTCTTTGCTGTGAGGAGTTGGACTTTCACAGCTTGGCTCCTCACAGGGATCTGGGTGGGGAGGGGAGGGGGATTCCAGTCCCCAGTTTGAAAGCCCTTTGCTGGATTCTTCTCCCTCCTCCTCTAACTGCACTAGGGGTCAAACTGCTGGATGCAGGACATCGGCCCAGTGGTTCCTTCCATGGGTGCCCCTCTGAGACAGTGAGACGCAGGGTCAGGATGGCAGCTGCAGGGGATTCTCCAGCACAGACACAAAAGGAGCCTGGAGGAGAGATTGGTCTTCCTGATCTATGTGTGCAGACCCTTTGCAGGGATCTGGGTAATCACCATCTGAGACCCCACAAGTGTGAGGCTGTAAGTTACCCAAAAATTCTTAACAGAACAGAAGAACCACTTAAAATGTAGTCCCTGCGTGACCATCTCTCCTCGCCAGCATCAGTCCCTGCCTGTCGCGTAACATCTGTGTCCATCAGGTCCTCTTTGGTTGTTGGGTGGGGTCAGCAGCTGACCATACGATGCCACAGACTGCATGGTAAAACTGCCGTCCTGTGAAAGTTGTGGGTTTTAATGACTCCAATCAAAGGGGAAGATGGAGGACTCTTTTAATCCCACCCAAAGTCGTAGACAAATGAGAAGTTGGCAGAGGTAGGCCAATTACTAACACAAGGAGAGAAAATTGGCCACACTGAGTTTATGGTGATGTGAAGTCGCTCAGTTGTGTCCAACTCTTTGCAACCCCATGGATTGTAGCCTACAAGGCTTCTCTGTCCATGGGATTTTCCAGGCAAGAGTACTGGAGCGGGTTGCCATTTCCTTCTCCAGGGGATCTTCCCGACCCAGGGATCGAACACGAGTCTCCCACATTGCGGGCAGATGCTTTACCTTCTGAGCCACCAGGGAAGCCTGCTCTTTATGGTAGGAAACTTCAATCACTCTGCTGAGATGGTGAAATATGAAATAAAAAAGTCACATCATTCTAGCATATAACGTTCAAAAATGTTACCGCCCCAACCATGCCTGTTTTATTCTTTGTAAACTTTTTTTTTTTTGGCCACATGGTATGTGAAATCTTAGTTCCCTGACCAGGGATCAAACTTGTGTCCCTGCAGTGTAAGGGCAGAGTCTTAAGAACCGGACCACCAGGGAATTCCCATGATCCTTGAAAATTTTAGCATGTGGTTGCACTTGCAATCTTATTTTAATAATGTAAGATTTTATTTTTATATTTTTAGTTTCATTTCTTAAAATGAAATCCATGTTGAAAACTTTTCTCCTCTCACCATTTCCTACAACATTTTCTACCCTGTCTTAAGTGGATTCACTTGGCCTTTTTCTGGTCAAATTATTAGGGAAATTTAGAGATCTAATGTGACCAGTATTTAATATTTGTAAAGTTTGTGAATGAATGAGT